AAACATTTAGATTACAAAAGGCTAATCAGTAATCTTTACTAAAGTCTAAAATCTGATATATTTGCATTATCCAATACGTATTACATGGATTTAGGCAACTAACATGTAAAGATTCTTCAGCCTACAGCCTAGATTTTAAGTGAATGAATTCCATACTGAGGGAATTCTCTATCGTCAATCCAATTATATAATCGTTTTTTTCGAAATCGTATATCAGCGTTTCCCTGAACAGCAGTATGGGGTACTTTTTGAATTCACGCCAAAGGTGATAACCACAGTGTCTAACAGTGTGAAACATGATCATCCAGATTCTTTGAATCCTTCACAACCAATCAGGATGCTCCAGTTCTTGAAGAAGAAACTTGTTAGTATAAACATAAGTATCTGACAGATTTAAAGGGAAGAATTCATGGTTAATGAGTTTCTGTGGAGGCTTGAAATTAATTAGTCATTGTAAAGATGTATATACGACTAAAGGATTATTCCCCTGAAAAAGCTCGAACTTGATATTATGCGAAATGTTGGGATTATTTATTTGGAACATGTTGAGATTCATAAAAGTATAACTTATAAACGAGTGGATGTTTGGAACATGGCTTAGAATGCAGTACACATTCTGCTATCTCTCTGACGTTTCCACTCCAAGAAATCCAATCATTATCACGGACGGGATCTAAAGATCATTGTTCAAACTCTCGCAAGCACATGTTAGTGTGTCATGTTCGGTTGAAGCAGATTTTGGTGTGACTAGACTAAGACGTGACACCAATCGATGAGGTTTCTGACCGTTGGCCTGAACCGTATGGGGGAGGTGTAGACCGCCTGGCTGGGAAGGATTGATTGAGGACTCTTAGTGATATGGCTGAAAATCGGTCACAATGGCATAGATGTAATCACTCATTGACACTGTCTAATGCTTGAATATTCGCACTAACCATTTTCTTCAAATTGCTTGTTTTTTCATACAACTATCTACATATTCTTGGTATAGTACTGTTAATTACGGGTAACTTGAACCGATACACTTGTGTTCAAGATTCTAAGCTGATTTTGTTGATATATCACTTTATACTGAAAGCTGTTTGTCAAAAAATAATGCAGCATTAACTGGAATACAGTGAAACTACTAAGCGTGTAAATAACTAAACTAAAGTCACCAGGGTAAGCTGATAACAAGTAGGTATTCATCACGGGTTGACATAATTTGGAGATCCTTTGGAAAACTAGAAGTATTAGACAGGTTATTTGTCCTATAATTAGACACCTAGGCAGTGCGTACTTATGATCCCAACAGGGATCCATCCCAAGACCTTCAAGTTCCGCGGCCAGCACGTTAACATTGTGTCAGTGGGTAGGATTCCGATGGTTCATATTTTACTTTCGCTGTCGATTCGCGGTATAATGCAACCTCCGTCCTATGCCACTTTTGGACACTTCTCGTACAACTTGGTTAGATCATCAGTCGTGACATCTAAGTAGAACTTCAGGTCATCTGGACAGTAATTCAGTTTCTATGTTTGTTATGATTTATTTATCGATTTGTTGATAATAACCAATCAGAAATAAATAAACGAATTCCTAGGAACCTCCGAATTGAAAAACTTATTAAGAATTGTTTTTCGACAGATCGACAACTATTATGCCTAGTAGGAGCGATTTATTTTTATAAGTATTTTCAATTACATAGAAGAATTCTTGAACTTTTCAAAGTGATAGGTGAAATAATTTGAGGATATAATTCCTTATAAGTTGTTATCACTCAACAAATAGAATAGCTTTTTATTAGCATAGCTAAGTTGACATAAGTGACTGAGTAGTTGGATTATTGACAGCTAACCTACTTCAAACAAATCAATCTACAGGAAACTCAATGAAAGAGGGAAAGGTGATTATTCAGAGTGAATCATAATCAAATTCCTAAACATTTAACAATCTCTCAAACATTGGTAGTTAAATTCAGACACTATCATTAAAATATGTACATTATTATTAGTTGTCCCTTGGGTTCCTAGTAGAACATACGAATTCAGTAGCACATCTCCATTTCACTCTCGCCTCTAAAGTCTTCTCAAACTGGCTTCAAGACTACGCAGAACCTCTCATCTCATCCTCACACCATACCATCCAGGTCACTCACACACACACACACGGACACCCAACTCGTCTTTTCCAATCTCCGTTACACTCGACAAACTGGTCTGGCCCATCCTGTCGCGTGATGTCCCCTAACCGTCTTCTCAGTCTACATCCAATCCAACTCCACTTTCTTCTGCTGAATATTTGTTGAGCGACGAGATCATGTTTAGTTCGTTGCCAGTCAGTCAGTCAGTCAGTAAGCCAGCCAGCCAGCCAGCCAGCCAGCCAGACACAGTTACTCCTTCCTTATTCTTATTGTCCTCGCCACCCATCTCATCTTCAGTATCGATTGAGTATAGGTGGCAGCTGTTCATGTATGTCTATAGTTTGTTGCAAATGGTTTTCATAACACGCCAACTCTCTCAACCATCACAAAGAAGCACTGAATTATTTGACTGACATTAGTGTTGAGAATCCAGATCTTGTTCATGCTTTATACTGAGTGCAGTGGAGTGGAGTGCAGTAGATTTCCACGTACACTGATTTCAGATGAATGAAGGAAGGCCTGTCTGGCTGGCTTTGGCATCGTAATCTGTGCTTGTGGGGCCACCTGTAGTTGAAACGATGCTGCCTAGGTGGGTAGGTGAAATGGACAAGTTCCTCCAGATTTCACCTGTTGATGTTGACTGATGCTTCTTGTTGTTGTTGTTGTTGTTAGTTGGGTATCTTCATCACCTCTACCTTTGTATTCTTTGCGGTCACCTGAAACAGGTCCCTTCTTCCTTTGCTGTCCTGCCTCGCCTCTCCTGCCAACTTGTTGGTTTTCGCCTGCAGATCTTCGAGCTTGTGAGACAAGTCATTAGACATAAATCATCATGGGTGAGATCCAAATCTTCTTTTTAGGGTCTTTTCATCGTTGAAACAGCGAACGCCCATTCTCTCACTCTTCACAGTTTCTTGCATGATGCAGTCAGTGCAGTCGACCACAATCAGGGGATCATTAGTGATAGTAGGCGGTTATCTTATCTTACTCCTGTCTTCACTTCACTTCAAAGGCATCACTGAGCTTTAGATTGTGAATCACTTGACATGTAGTTTCACTTAGCATATAGCTGTTGAATGAGGTTGATAAAGATTTGTGGCACTCAAACCGTAGTGTTGAAGCAGCTGCCTACCAAATTACTTCTCGGTCGACTCTATTGAAGCAAGGCCTTTTCGAAGTCGATGAATTTAAGGTACGGGTACAGTTTACTGCCATTCTATACTTTGTTCTATGAGGAAGCATAGCGTAGCGTTGTAATTTGATCCACAAATGAATTGTTTTTCTTGAAGCCAGCCAGCCAGCCTGTTCAAGTTGTAATTTTAAACCCGGAGAATTTTTCAGTCTCTCCAGAAGATACATACATGTGGTGGCGATAAATCTTATACGTGTTTAGCTCTAAACGGTGAAGTGCAATGATTATTTCTTGTATTTGTTCTTTATAGCGGAAAAATACTTATAATCAGTTTGATGCCTGTAACATTTATTTATTGGTGGGCTTTTATCTAGTCTTAAGTCTTGTGGTGCTAGTAATCAATCCAACTACCTAATAAGAGTCAAGTGTACTGTGCACCAGTTATTTTTGTCCTAATCTATAACTGTAAACCGTTTATATGTCATAGTTTTCGTATATTAGAACACTTCAGATATTTGACTACTGATGCTTTTATGACATAGGTTGCATCTCATCAAACCACGTTATATTTACTTTCTCAATAAGACATGATTACATACCATAGTATATGCAGTTAACTGGAATGAAAAAGTGGAGCTAAATATGTTCAGCTCCCATTGTCGATGAAGCAGTTTTATGAGTTGTCATTTTCATTCACACAGACTTCGATATCAATTCTAATGCCATCTCGAAGGCATGGCTTCAAAAGTAGTTGAAGATATCACATTCATAATGAGTCCTCAAAGAGGTAGGTAGATAATGAGTTCAATGATATGTTGTATCCATTGGTTAACAGCTTTATGTAGGATTTTCTTTGCCAGAAAAAATTTAGTCCACTTGATATATTCTTATCTACTTGAAGGGATAACGTGGATAATTAAACTCGATTATTTCCTATTAGTTTTGACAACTTTCAATTTTAGGATAATTTGTTTTTTGTTTTTTCTTTGTCTTCCTTCTGTATAATGAGTCATTTTTTGTTGAGACATTTATCAACTAATGAGTAAACATGTTTGGTGGATAAGATCTCCATCGATAAACTGATAAAAATGGAAGCGCCAATTATCTACTTTCCTATTATGCAACTTTTTGCCTGTAACCTCTGTAAATACCAAAGGAAAATATGATGGTTTTAATACTTTGTAAAAGATCCGCAGAAGAATAAACCTAGATTAATCTCAAATACTTTCAATAGAATTACTGTATCTTGGAAAGGAATAATCACTTGAAGAAATGGGAGAGAATATCTGTAGTTCAGGATGTGGATACACCGACTGAACTGTCCTCTGAGGTACAGTTTGGTTGACAAACGTTTCAATATCATGCTAGATATTATCATCAGTGCATCGGTGATTCACAAGTAAATGTGCATGAATATTTACAACTCTTTCCCTTGGTATGAGACCAACCTGATTGGCTACTTGTCTAGTGTACTGGCTTGTGTCAAACTTTATTGGTTGATATTTCTTTTCTGACATTCTTATAGAGGCAAAACGATATCACTAATTAACTTCTTTTTTCCTTGAAGGTTTTAGATATCGATGCCCACTCGACTTATTTGAGTTCCCAGAGATGCAATTACTACCATATCCATCATGATATTGAAACGTTTGCCAGACAACGTCATAATTCAATCTGAACGTATAACTATAAAAAGCTATAAAAAATTATACAAATGATAACGGCAAACAGATAAAACCAAAAACTTACGGAATATCTTTATCTGTATACGTCCATGTTCCTGTTTTCCTAGCAATTTCATCATTACCATGATAATCATATAAACAGAAGTCGCTAATAGTATTACTATGATTAGTATATGCAGCAGTATTAGTATTGTATGATTGTTGACCATAAGGATCATATTTTCTGAATGCACTTGGTGTAACAGAACGTACAGCCACAGATTCACTGCACATAAGCATCTCATTATCAATATTGTTATAACTATGATTATGAATATTATTCAAATTATGATTATTGTGGTTCATATCATTGTAATGCATACTTTTTAACTCATTCGATGATCGTGGAACATCCCAGTTGTAATAATCTTGAATTAAAGAACGTGGTCTTCTTGGCAATACACGATTTGGTTGTTTTTGATTAATTTTTCTATAGATTCCACTTGATTTACTATCAAGATAGTTATTAATTAAATGGTTAATGTTATTATTCGCAGGTATATTACCGAGACAAATATTAGGACTAACAACAGTAGGAGAAAATGATTGTGAATAACTAGAGTTACCATTTATCGTTTCGTATCCATTGGTTGACGATTTGATCCGATTAAGTAGTGCTTCATCTGATGCATAGAAACCGGAATGCCTTGGCGGTGGATAGGCATAATGAGAAAGAAGACAGTATGATAAGGTTTGCGACACAGATTTATGCATTTTAGTAAAATAAATGTCAATACAAAAAGAGTAGCAGGCTTATCTTTACCAAGGTAGCTCCTAATTGATGAGATTAGTCTTTAGAATCTCGGTATGTGAAGATTGTTTTTATTGATTTAAACAAGTTATCAGCAGAGCAGTCTCCAGATAAACGGGTAACATCAATCACTTATTTGTAACCCATTGATTGAGTATCTTGTAATTTCAATTTCAATATTTTTACAATACTATCTATTAAAAAGATTGGATAAATTTCATGTGTACACCATTTTCATCTTGGATAGAATATGCGTATCGAATTGACACAAACTTTACTGAAAAGCAATATACCACCTTGTTCTTGTTAAATGATAGTTACTACTATATAGTTCTAAGTAGCCTTTACATTGAAGTTACTAGGTGTTGAGCACTCACTCCCAAGTAATCTATTTCGTCATGGAAATTCCATCCCACTGGTCAATGCGACCTAGCATGGCTTCGAAAAAGCATTCGATTATGCAGTCTCTGACTGCTTTCTGGTAGTTTGTAATATGGTCCACAATTAAACATATAATGTATATATCTACTGACTAAAATGAATACATTTTAATAGGCATAATTATACTCCTTACCCATTCCAGTTGGCTGGTGTATGTTCCGAGGGTAACTATTCAACAAAAGAAAGAAACAAGTAGGAGAAAATAAGTGAGACAATGTTTATCGTAATGTATTTCAATAATACAAGTTAATCATGTGTAAAATAAAAGTACTGATCAACTAGGGTTATAAGCAATCGCTAAAAATAGTTGAGTGTTCTGGACACTGATTATCTGTCTGAATTGTTTAAAAAGGAAACCAACGGTTCTCTATCTGGACAAATTTAGCTCCTGGAACCTAACTATTCATATTAACTGAACACAGCTAAATAATCTTAATGGATTTATATATCGTGAATTGGATGATCACATTTCACATCATTGAGACCTTCCACTGACTAGCAATGTTCCACTTGTCAAATGGTGATGTACATTCATAATTCTCATTGTGACATCGAAAAAGAAAAGATATTCAGAGAAGAGGACTCTTTTCAACAAATTTATTGTCAAGCAGTACATTCGTATGTATATGATACCTAAAGACTATGATCCGTGAGGAAGATTCAACTTAAATAGTGGGAGATTGAAATAACAATAATGATAGTTATAATAATAATGTAAACCTCGCCTGGTTAACTAGTTCACTAGTTACTAGCCAGTCCTAAGCCCAGGTAAAGAGGCAAGGTTGGCCACAGGGCTAACAACCCTAACCAGTAAAACAAATCTAACCGCTGAAGAAACCTCAAAGCACAAAAAAAATTATTCCTCGTTGGAATCGCAGAGATGAAATGATAACGGTTGGTAAAAGCCTTCGGGAAGCCAATTGGCCGATGTGTCTTCTCTCGATGGAAGTGAAAGTAAACATCGGGACATGGAATTTCCGCACCATGTATGAACCAAGCAAGGCAGCTCAGATTGCAAACGAGATGAAAGGTGCAGCATGGCAATTCTTGGAATCTGCGAAAGCAGATGGAATGGAATCGGAATCTCCTAACTGTCAACTGGAGAGGAGAGTCAATAATCTACTCCGATATTGTCACCCACACGACAACCACAACCACACTGAGTGTTGGAGTGGCTATCATGATGTCACCAACAATATCGAAGGCACTCATACAGTGGGAATCAATCTACTCCAGCATCACGATCATCACAGCAAGGTTCAACTCAAAAGGAAGGAAGGTCACAATCATACAATACCAGTGCTACACTATGCACCTACAAATAATGCAGATGAAGAGGAGAAGGAGGAATTCTACAGACAACTGCAATCAACACTGAACAAGACGTCAGTTGGCGATATCAAAATTGTAATGGGTGTGGTGACATGAATGTCAAACTGGGAGTGGACAACACAGGAAGAGAACTAACCATACATCGAGAAGCACTCGGTGAGGTGATGAACGAGAATGGAGAATTGTTTGCAGAATTCTGTGCATTCAACGATTTGGTGATTGCAATGAGGCAATGTGTTCAGGCACAAGGATATCCACAAAGCGACATGGATTTGATTTCACTAGACACCAGGTCACACTAAAAATCACATCGACTTCATCTCAATGTGAAGAAAGTGGAGACGCAGCCTACTTGACACAAGGTCAAGAAGGGGAGCAGATGTGGGCTCAGACAACTATCTAGTGCAAGAAACCTAACCTCAAAATCAAGTTGAAAGCCTTCAAGGAAGCTGGTGATAGACCACAGTTGAAGTACAACACTCGGAAACTGAACTGAATGAGGAAGCTACACAGAAAGTCTTCACGTCAGCCATCAAGACAAAATGGGAGATATCGTGGAACATTTCTGAAGAAACCTGTGTGGATGAGTACTGGAAGTCTTTGAAAGCTATGTGGAAAGAACCTGGATAACCGTATTAGGAAGAAAGAGGAAAGGAGATAAGGAATGTATCTCGATGGATACATGGAAGCTGATGTAGCAGGGAGAGGAGGATGGTGAAGTAAAAGATAAAGCAATGCAGTGCAAGGATGCACAACGAGAAGAGGAAGTGAGTGAAATGTATAAAATACTACACTGGACAAAGAAGTGAAGAAGAGTGTGTGGGAAGACAAAAGACACTTCTACGACACATTGTCAAGTGAAGCGGAACAATCTGCAGGTAGGAGAGATAGAGACAGATAGAGACCTGACAACACTGTATCGGATAAACAGGTTACTATCTGGCAAGGGAAGAGATCAACATAGTGCAGATGAAACCAATAAAATATGATGAAGGAAATATAATTACTGAAGAAGAGAAACGAGGGAGATGATGGGCTGACCACTTCAAGAAGCTGTTGAATCGACCACCACACCTGCACTTCGTCCAGAAATACCACCTGCAGCTCAGCCACACAACTACACGTGAACATAAATCCTCCAAGAACAGTGGAAGTCCTGAGAGCCGTAAAGCTACTGAGATGCGGGGAAGCAGCAGGCCTAGATGGAATCCCATCAGAAACACTGAGAACAGACGCAGAGACAACAGTGGACATGCTCACATCACACCACTATTGAGGAAGGTGTGGAAGGAAGGGAAGGCACCTGCCCATTGATTGGAAGATGAGCTTTCTTGTCAAACTCACGAAGAAGAAAGGAGACCTCAGTGTTTGCAAGAACTGGCGCGGAATCATGTTTCACTCCTGTCCACCCACAGCAAGCAAATTATTATGCCGCATCATCTTGGAGAGACTAAAGGATGAGCTGGATTCAAAACTACCACCCGAACAGGCTGGCTGCATTCACGAAGTACAAATCATGTGTGGACCAAATCACAAGGCTTCGCATCATCACAGAACAGAGTGTAGAATGGTAGTCGACTGGATCTCAACCTCAGTTTCATCGACTTTGAGAAGGCCTTTGACAGCGTCGACCGAGAGGTGATTTGGAAACTGCTTCAACACTACGCAATACCACAAACCTTTATCAATCTCATTCAACAACTAAAAGAAGACACCACATGCCAAGTAATTCACAAGGGGAAGCTCAGTGATGCTTTTGAAGTGAAGTGAAGAGAGGAGTGAAACAAGACTGCAGTCTACTATCACCCATAATATTCCTGATTGTGGTCGACTGGATCATGCAGCAAACAGTGGGGAGCCGTGAGGAGAGGGGGATAGGCTGGACTGTGGAAAAGAACCTGGAAGATTTGGATTCCGCCAGTGATGACTTGTGTCTAGTGTCACACAAACTTGAAGATATACAGGCGAAAACTAACAAGTTGACAGAAGAGGCGAGTCAGGACAGCAAAGGCGGGACACCATTCAAGTGAATATGGAGAAGACAGAAGTGATGAAGATACCCAACCAACCAACAACAACAAACACCAATCACAATCAGTTCGGAGAAAATTGAAGGAAGTAGCCTCTTTCACCTATCTGTGTAGCACTGTTTCAACTATAGGTGGCACTGACGAGGATGTCAAAGTCAGAATTGGAAAGGCAGCAAGAAATGTGTTTATTAGCCTGAAACCAGTGTGGAGATCTTGTGGTCTGCACTCAGCATAAAGCGTGAACAAGATGCGTATTTTCAACACCGATCCAGTCAAGTCAGTGCTTCTGTGTGATGGTTCATAGAGTTGACGCGTTACGAAAGGCATTTCCAATAAACTACAGACATTCATCAACAACTGCCTACGCTCACTGGATATTGAAGATCAGATGGCGAGGACGAATAAGCAACGAAGAGCTCTGGCCTGGCGACGGACCAACCAACAACTTATAACTCAACAAATATGCACTAGAAGGAAGTGGAGATGAATTGGGCATACATTGAGAAGGCCGACGGGGAACATCACGCATCAGGCGAGGCCATGGAGTTGAACCCAGATGGGAAATGACGAGTTTGGTGTCCGAGATGAGGGTGACATGTAGGAGATTTTGTGAGGAAGAAAGGAGAGGTTGTGGCGAGTCGTTAAGCCAGGTTTGAAAGATTTCAGAGAACACAGTGCACTAGAGACGTGCTGCTGAAGCCCTAAGTTGCATTAGGAACCTAAGGGACAAATAATAATGATATAACTTTTGACATAAAGCAATCTGCCATTAGAGGTATCACTAGGGATCGCATTGCAATCTCGTCACTTTGCCGGTATATGTGATCATCGAAAGTTAGCTTGGCATTAAAATTAAGTCTTATCAACTGCTCTTTTATATCATATATATATATATATATATATATATACATGTACAGTCTGTGGATAAATTTGTTGTAAAGAATCCTCTTCACTGAATATCTTGCTTTTAAATTGGTGATTTTAACAATTTTTCTATTGTAAACGACTCAAATGAAATCACAAAAGCATAAGAATGGTTGCAAATGGTTACTGGAAATCTTAGAAAAACTGAAGAGTATTCTTAAAAACAATTAAATTCTTTTTCATAATGTGTAACCTACTACTCCAATGACTCACTCTTGAAGGTGTACACCGCTGAATAGATCTTCTTAAGGATATGTTCGTTAGCTATTGTTCATTGTGAACCTGTCACTTAATAGTTCTTACTAACTAGTTGCTGTAATCGGATTTAAATGCTTCGTCGACCCTATTCATATCAGACATTCATAACGATTTAAAGTCACCAAGAAGACTCTTTTTGAGAAACAAGATCATGTGGTACTACTGACCTTGGATTAATTCAACTGCATAAAGTTATTGAGAACTGGTAGACATTGTTAACTTTAAGATGCCATTTCTTCTCTTTAACCTCCAACAGCTGATATTCCAGTCGTACAGTATGATATAATGTGATGTATACGAATGGACACTTCGACAACAACCCTTTAGTATTCATCCCTTCTTATATGTTATTAATCTCTACACTCATCCAGATGGTCATCTAACAGCTGAGTTACCAGTACTTCTGAATGAATGTCCAATAGGAATATGAGTTTTTCGATAGTTTAATGGTTATATGATATCATAAGTAAGATTGTTGGAAACCATCCCCAGTGTCACTACAAAAGCTGAAGCATGAGTGTAGAATTATAATCATGCTGATGTTATTTTCACTTCTTTAATTTCATAATTGAATCAATAGATTACAAAGTTATTCTCATCATTTATTAATAATATTGACAGAATCAGTGAAAACTAGTAAATATTAGGCAATCAATACCTCCTAGTTTCATGGTCATCAGCTTTTATTACACATAACTACTTACAGGTCTGAGTCATTTCATTATGAGAACTACTTTGAAACTGTCACTGACTATTTTGAACGTCATCAAATTATTACTAGAATATTCATTGCTATAAGCATTAACGAACCTCAGAAAATTTCTGTTTAACTTCAAAGGAGATAAAGTGTTATCGCTACATTCCGGTCAATGGCTATCAGGTTACCTGTTCTGTGCTCTGTTGACTGACTTAGGAAGTTTCATTATTATTATTATATTATTATTTGTCCCTTGGGTTCCTAGTGGAACATACGAATTCAGTAGCACATCTCCATTTCACTCTCGCCTCTAAAGTCTTCTCAAACTGGCTTCAAGACTACGCAGAACCTCTCATCTCATCCTCACACCATACCATCCAGGTCACTCACACACACACACACGGACACCCAACTCGTCTTTTCCAATCTCCGTTACACTCGACAAACTGGTCTGGCCCATCCTGTCGCGTGATGTCCCCTAACCGTCTTCTCAGTCTACATCCAATCCAACTCCACTTTCTTCTGCTGAATATTTGTTGAGCGACGGGATCATGTTTAGTTCGTTGCCAGTCAGTCAGTCAGTCAGTAAGCCAGCCAGCCAGCCAGCCAGCCAGCCAGACACAGTTACTCCTTCCTTATTCTTATTGTCCTCGCCACCCATCTCATCTTCAGTATCGATTGAGTATAGGTGGCAGCTGTTCATGTATGTCTATAGTTTGTTGCAAATGGTTTTCATAACACGCCAACTCTCTCAACCATCACAAAGAAGCACTGAATTATTTGACTGACATTAGTGTTGAGAATCCAGATCTTGTTCATGCTTTATACTGAGTGCAGTGGAGTGGAGTGCAGTAGATTTCCACGTACACTGATTTCAGATGAATGAAGGAAGGCCTGTCTTGCTGTCTTTCTGATCCTGATTGGTTTCGCCATCCTCATCTGTGACGCCTGTTGTTTGAAGTTTCATAATGTATCCAATTTTAAGTTTCAATTTAGTCATATAGTGTTGCATTCTTCTGTTATGGACAGAACTAACACAAGCCCTATCACTTTGATTCAAATCTAATGGTAGGAAAGGTATCATGACGCATGAAATTCAGGTGACTAGACAGTTCGTATGCCTTCATATAGGACAATTCAGCACCAGGCAATCGTAAATAGGTTAATGGTCGAACAAACAGACTGTCACTCAGATCGAGGATTACACAAATATTTTTCGAAATGTTTATTGCTTTGAAATTCAACAGAGCTAACAGATGTAATTAGTGGTATTGTGGTGTATGCTACTTACATTAACGCATGTAAATAGTATATGGCATATTTTCACCCGGAAATCCAAACTGTTTCCCTCAATAGAATTTCTGACATAGAGAATGTGAGTCATTTGAAGAAAGTACAGAAAACAAGAAAAGTTGCAGCATAAATCCAAGTTCAACGTAGTTCATATGTAGAATACAAAGGTTATTTGCATGAAGTGTGTCTGATATACGGTTTCTATATTTTAACTACTGTCAGTGAAAACCTTGATCAGTAGTCACCTGTGCTCTTTCTACACTATTCGTAGCACCACTTAGAGTGTATGAGATATTATGATATGTCATTGAATCCCTGTGTGAGTAATGTTGGGGTCAGGTGAATGGTACTAGGCTAGAAAGGTAAGTCGATTGATGAGATTGTGAACCTAAGTGGACTGAGATGGCTTGGACATCTACTGCATATGCCAAACTACCTCATACCTCAATGTGCATGCTAGACAAAGTTATGTTGGAAGAAGTTTCAGGGTGACCAGATGAAGATATTGTACCAGTCCTTCAAAATCTCAAACTGTTGGTCTGTCGTGCAGAGAGATGTACACTGCTTGGCTGGGAACTCATGACGAAAGGAATCAGTGATTGAGGATTATTTGTGAATTATATGAAAATCGGTGACAATGACACAGATGTTTACACGCCTTGACGTCTTTTAAAGGCTTAATAATTGCACTAAGTGTTATCTACAGACTGTTTATTCTGTCACACAGCTTTGTTTATATTGATATCACTCTTTTTGTATATACTTGTTCTTTGTACACTGCTGTGAGGTATAGCTAGTTGAGGTAATTCAAATGTGTGTGAGGTTTGTTGTTGATTTTGTCTGTCAGTGATCGCTGAAATCTTGTCATAGATATAAAAAGTCATATTGACTCTTGCCATCCTACACTATCAGTAACGACAGCAGGACCTGAGGGGTGAAGAACATTTTCTGTTTGCTCCTAAAACATTGACTGTGTATCATACAGCTACCATTCAAACAATGTATTTTTCAATGTAGTGTATTGGTTATGAATGGTAAGTTAGTTGATAAAATTTTAAACCTCATTTGACTTAGAGTAATTGCTTGTATTATGCCGTCGTTGATTGGACCGAATTGATGGGTCTCTACGGGCATATGGAATCCTGCGGGGATGCCTCGATATACCTGTGTTCTAGTTATAGTAAAGATGAATCGTGGCTAACAGTGGAATCCAGTCCTATTTGGGACTCACTGGTCAGCTGGATGTACCTGCCTTTTAGTAGGTGATGTTGTTCCCACCGAGATTTGAACTCTAGAGTGATCGCTTCAAACATCAGAGCGTCATCATCTACACCACCGTGCCACGATATGGGGATCTTGGATTCAACTGCTAGCCATTATCCATCATTACTATAACTAGAACACAGGTTATTTCGAGGCATTTGCACAGGAGCCCATATGCTAATAGAGACCTATCGATTCTGTCCAGTCAACGACGGTATGATATAAAAACGATTATACAAGAACGGTGCCCGTCACACAAGAAGTTGATATCATGGCTCAATTACGTAGTGAATGATGCTCTGACGTTTCAAGCGATCGCTCTCAAGTCAAAATCTCGGTGGGAATAACATCACCTACTGAGAGGCAAGTACATCCAGCTGACCAATGAGTCCGAAATAGAACGAAATGGGGATCCTGGATTCCACTACTAGACACTATCCATATTTGCTTACTTGACTTAGTTGACAGAAACGTGTATCACTCATACCTAGTGACTGTTTATTCTGCCGATTTAGATTAACTAGTGTAGTTTATAGTAGGAGAAGCATAAAAGTGTTCATAATTAAACGTGGCATCAGTTGGTAAATCACTGATTGTTGGTCTAATGGCTCAGAATCAATCAGAGTAGTGAAGATGTATCAACACATCGTTTTCATTTCAATTCTCACATTAAATAATGTCAAATCCTATATGGTTACTGATCTGGATAACTTTTTAGAATGTTACAGAATGAATATTATTTAACCAAACTTACAAAGCATGTTTTTTTCTCAGAATATTGATCACACAGACTTTCATAGTTCTCACAAAGTGAGATATTTGTATTACTCAATTTTTTCGTTTGTATAAGATTAGGGGCGTAATATCTTTGCATGATAACAGGTCGAACAATAGGTTCATTCATTAGGCCATCACCTTAATAAATAGCAGAAAGATATAAGATTCAGTAGAAAGATTTGAAAATCATTTGATATTGTTAAATGTGGAAATATATCTGAGAATAGAATATAACAAGGAAATATACAGTGTACTACTGGGTCAGAATCCAGTCGTTCATATATCCAACTTCTATTTTCTCACGATATAGTTCAACCGCCACTGAATGTCATAGTTGAGTAACTGTCCTCACGACCATCAGGTTTCGCCCCCACCAATCACGACTACTCACTGGAACTACGGGAATACCTCTCGAAGTTGAGTATAAGTATATATAAACCATTTATTTGTCTGACAAAGTTGTCGTTGTTTTTGTTTTTGCCGTCTTGTCTTCTGGTTTTACGGCTCAGTGAAGTATACGGTGTAGGGGAGAGCAGTCGTATTACTCATATTCAGCCCAAGTATCTCTTTGTGTTATCTCGAAACCTGTAACAGGTAATTGAAATGATAAAACCGACTTCGGATATGTGTATATTTTACCACTAGTGGTATCAAAGAATGAAAAACAACAGTGGTGTGCTTATAAGCAGTGAATTCCGCTCAAAACGTCATTGGTGAATGATACTTAGATGTCTGACGTCCCATGGATCGACCTGCTCCTCGGAGGTCATCTGGCTGACTTGAAGCATGCAGAAGATATTATCCTGCTGGGTGAAGATGCTGACAAAATCCAGTGTCTTCTGAACGTGTTGATCAGAAATCTGAGTATGCTTGTTAAGTGTAAAGTGATACTCTAGGACTGGTCCACAAGCACACGCAGAATAACAATAGGGAGTGGAATGGTGGAATGTGTGGACCACTCCACTTACTTGGAGAGTTGTATCAGCCCAACGGGTTGGTTGCTGAAAAAAATCTCAGCTTTGATACAGAAAGCTCATTTGTTATTTACCAATGCGGATCACTGGTGGCGCCGACTAGAGGAGATATCCAACTATCTATTAAAGGACGAATATTCTACACTATGGTTTGTTCGATCCTGTCCTATGGCTATGAGAAGTCACCGTTAACAGTAGAAAATATGAGACAGTTACAGAGCTTTGATAAAAAGTGTCTTTGTAGCATTGCTCGCTTGTGGTGGAGTCACCGTGTAAGCAATTTTGGAGTCAGAAAAAATGTACTAGTTAAGATAGGCAAGTCTATCGGTGAGGTTGTAAACCCTAGTCAACTGAGATGAGTTGGACATGTATTGCATGTGTCAAGCCACTGCTTACCTCAGCGTATCATGCTGAGGGAAGTTGGAATATGTTAGAAGTGGGTTCATTGTGATCAGACAAACAAGTGGCACAAGTCGATAAAGCCCTTAACTGTTGATCTGAGCTATTTGAGAAGATGCAGACTATCTGGTTGTGATCTCCAGGACAATAGGAATCAGTGTTTGAGGACATTAGTTGACATGGCTGAAAACCGGTAACAATGGTGCAGGTCTAAAGCTTGAATATTCGCAGTAACCGTTATGTTCAGGTTCTCCATTCTCTTACACAACTTTGTCTACTTTGACATCACGCTTTCTCTATCCATTTGTTCTTTGTGTCACATTGTGAATTGTGGCAACTTGAACCGATGCACCTGTGTTCGAGGTTCTACGTTGATTTTGTCTGTCTATGGTTCAGAATGAACTACCCATCTCATACCTGTTCACAAAGAGTATCAAAACTCAAGTTTATTTGATTTACACCTTCATAAAAAGCAAACAGATATTTACCTTCCAGATTATTGACATTTTTTTCATAGCTATTATTGAGACTAAATGTAGATATACTATTTTCACCAGTATTTATATCAACATTTGGTCCTGTTGAAGCTGATGGATGATATGAATATCGATTATAGGGACGATGAAGTAGATTTTGTTGACCTCCATTCTTTGATTGACCTAATGGATCAAGTTCACTATACCGTCTAGGATTTAATTTTTCGCTTTTTAGTAAATCTGATAAATCTCGTTCACTCGATGAATTGACATTACTAGTCTAAAAGGAAGTGAAAAAGGATTACTCAAAAAAGAAATTGAAATGAAATTAACACCAACTGATTGATGTGAACAAGATTTTTACCTTGTTTTAATAGGCAAATAGTATTAAACAGGATTCGATGTTTACAATCGAGGTTACAACAGATAAAGTCAAGAGTCATCACTTGTAGTGGGTAGTGGGCTGGTTGACTGGTCACTTGAGGGTGAGCAAAATTCATCTATCTCCATCCATCCGTCCATCGAAATCAACATAGAACCAGGCATTACTGTGTAACGGTTAGGGTAGCCACAGCTCATATTAGTACATCAAGTAAAAAAGGCAGTGAAGTGGGAGATGAAGAGAAGAAAATTCAGTCAAAAGAAATATAAAGTACTAAAAGAGAGAAAGAAAGAACGAGAAAATGGTGACATTCGGTATAACGTTAAGATGAGGATAATGTGTGCATACATCTGCACTACTGACATTGGGTTTGGGCAATGCCATCACCTAGAGTGTCCAACTACTGGTTCGTCTTGCCCCATGGACCCCAACCAGCTAGTCTGCATCGCCCCATATGGCTTAAACTAACAGTCAAACACTTCATACATTAGTGCCATGTTTTATTCTGGCCACCTCGCGGCCAACATAATGTGACGAGGCAATCAGCGACTAGGCATACATAACACGTGTCTCAACCATCTCAGTCGATGAAAGTTCATAACCTCGTCAACTGATTTACCTCTACTCCTCAAAACTCTACCTGACTTCTGCATTACTCACATGGTGTGGTGACACCACGGAATACGGCGTATGCTAAGAAGGCCATAGTGGTCAAATAATTGAAACCTCATATCTTCCACCTTCAGTGGTCATGTATCACAGGCATACAGTAGAACAGAGCGGACTGCTGTGGAGTACACGTAACCCTTAATAGACAAACGGATATCATGGCGGCGCCATAGGTGGCGTGAGTTGGCAAAAGCCAGCCAAGCCTTTTGTATCAATGCAGAGATTTCATCGACTACTGACCAGTGCACCAGGGCTGATCCTACTTCCCAAGTAAGTGAAGTGGTCAACACACTCAATCACTACACTATTGTTAGCCGTGGTGGGGCACCATTGAAGACCAATCCTAGAGCAACAATTTGCACTTCGGTGGTGAGAAACGTATCACAAACATTCTCAAATTGCCCTTCAAAGTGTCCAAATGACTCGGCATCTTGTCAGTGTCTTCACCTAACAGGACTATGTCATCTGCATATTCTAGGTCTGACGAAAATACTCCTGCGATTAGGTCAACTTCTGTGTAATCAGATGACGAGAGGGAGACTTCCACGAGAATATCTATGATAAAACAGTTTAGGAATAGGGAAAGTGGGCACCCTTGACAGACATCACTTGACAAATACAGCTCCCAGGACATCTCACCATAGTCTCTAACACACCGACAAGTGTTTGAATGGAGAGCTTTTACTTAGGAGATGTACTTACTCGGCACACCTTTCATTGGCAGACATTGCCATAAGACCTTCCGATCGACGGAGTTGAATGCCGCCTTCAGGTCAAGAAATATAGCTATTGTGGGGCGTCTGTAAGTGTGCCTGTGCTCCAGACCCTGGCACAGTGTGAACATTTGGTCGATACACCTGTGGCAGGGTCTGAAGCCTGCTTAGTTTTCTCGGGCTTGCTGTTCCCGAGTTCCACTCAGGTGTCGAAGAATTATAGAACCTAGGATCTTGGACACTATGTTCATCAGACTAATTCCTCCACGGTTATCACAAGAGGACTTCTCGCCTTTCGTATTTGATTCGCATAAACTTGTTAACACTTCCGTTAACCTGAGCACTCTACCATCATCCTTGTATGCCTCAGGAGTTAATCCGTCTGGTCCCGCTGACCTTCCTCGTTTCAAGTCAATTACAGCTTTCTTGACTTCTGAAAGTGATGCGGGGCCTATCTCAATGTTCCATTCAAAATCTGACTGGATAGCGGGCCATGCAATGGTAACTGCAGACCAGTTAAGTTGTTCCTCGAAGTGGTCTGTCCATCGTTCCAATCGTCTCCTCTGCAAGTGAACCGCATACCCGTCCTTCTCCGCTACAATCTGACTCACGGTTGTTGACGTTTCTCCCAGTTCCTTTTCTCAGTCTACTTTTAAGTCGCTCTCGATCTTCGTTGTACTCAGAGCCTGAAGGGATGCGTTCACTTGCATCCATTAGTTTGGAAGAAGCTGCTGATAGCCACTGGCTCTTTTTAGCCGCTTTTTCGGAGTCGGCTACAGTCTTCAGCGCTGCTTTTGCAGCAGACTGGAGATGGCAACAAGCCTCTTCTGGATCGGTTGGTCATCTATCTTAGTACATCGCGATGGCCAGACTCCTAGTCTGGTGACTACAATGCGAAACAATCGATAGAATTTGGATCAGAACAAAGTAACATGAAGTTGGTTATCCTCCAGTAACTAATCAGTGTATCTCATCCATGGCCAAATAGTTGAGTGGTAACGTCTCTAACTGTAGCTCTGAGTGACGCCTGTTCAAGTCTCATAAGGGACATTAGTTCCGTTGAGGTTGCAGATACACCTTGCCAACAAGCACCAAAAGGCAAGAAACAGTTCCAGGACTTTCAGCTGATTGCTTTTATCCAGCTAACAGTTAGAAGATTGATTTGAATCAACTGGTTTAAGATACAGAGGCGCAGAGTTTGTACCACCTGTCAGTTATCAGCATAGTATGACTCGTATCACATACCTCTTTGCTGTAAATGACTTTTAATGTTATAAGACAGAGTTTATCAGTTAAATTTCAATATATACTGGTTACTGGTATCCCCGCCAACTGGCTACTGTTCAATAGTACTAAAGTTTTGTTGAGACCTTTTCTATGTTTCTTTAGTACCCAAAAAATTGATAGATAAAATTGTACTTATAGAGTTTTCTTAATTTGGATACTTGCGGATACGTTTATTTTGATATGAGATGTCAATGAGTATCAATATACACCTGGAAGTTATCAGTTTGCCAGAAACTTTGTTTGTCCGCCTAGTAGTTTATGGTAAGAAAAGATTTGATCTGCACTTCAACCTATCAGTATGATTACTCTAACAGCTGAGAATTAACGCGTTTCCGTTCTATGTAGGCAGCTTTATCTACTTGTTCACATGGTGTACACTATATTTCAAGGCGACCAAAAAAGGCTAACCTATTGTATTGAGATAATTGTTATCATTTAAGGTAAGATAGTATTTAGAAAAATTACAAGCTGCTTGGATTTGATTGCATAGAAGCACGATAAACAGAGAAGGAAGTACACACAAACCAGTGATTTTTGTAGGCTAAATGTTTATCATTTTGACTATCTGAATAAATCGTGGTTCGACAGACTAGTCTGGATACTGGGCGATGATTGTAGGTGAAATTGAAAATGTTGACCGCGACCGGATTCGAACCAGAGGGCACCTGATTTCTCACCCGAAGCCCTACCAACACAGCTGCAAGGTTCGACTGCTCACCAGATTTTGATTTCACTTCAATCACTATGGGTTTTGCCTGACTGCCGTGTGAATTCGTGATGCTTTACTATCGCCTAATCATATTCACACTGCCTACCTGCAGTCAGGAATTCTCATTGCAATCCAAATCTAACTGAATTATTGAGGTGGAGCATTATATTGACTATCATTTTGACTATCTAAGATAGCTGTGGCTTAGTGGACTAGTATTAACACTGGGTGATGATTGCAGGTGAAATGAAAATTTTGACCACTACTGGATTGGAACCATAGACCACTGGGTTTTCGACCCGGTGGTCTATTTTATTCAACTATGATCCAAGTTTCTTTAAGAAGTTCATAGTTTCGTTAGATATTTTGCATCGACATTCAAAGCTGAAGTCACTACGAAAAGATGAGTTCCAACAGCTGGTATTGCTATCTAAGGAAAACGTCTTATATTGTCTAATGCTTCATGAATTCACATGGTAATTAGGCAAAACCCTTGTTAGTTGAAATGAAATAAGAATGCGGTCAGCAGTCGAACTTTGTAGCTCAGCTGGTAGAACACCGGGTGGGAAACCTGGTGTGCGCCTGGTTCAAATTCGGCAGTGGTTCGAATTTTCATTTAACCCACAATCATTAACCAGTATCATTGCAAAACGTTGATTCGTAACTTAAGCCGAGAGATATACTGTTAGTATGCTTTGAATAATGCTCAGTTTTTATCAGTTTGACAGAAAATAACTATCTTGTATCAACTCTATCAAGTATTAGAAACAAAGAATGAGTATTTCAAGCGTTATTCCTGTGTTACTTTCGCTTTCTTTGAAAAGTACAGTGTACATTCTCCATCTTGACATCTTTAGTGAGTGTCAGTCTATAAGTTTAAGCTATCAGATATTTCTTACTGTTTATTGAAGTGTCTGTTATTGTACAATAAAAGTTTCGTGTCAATCGTGAAGGTACCACTCCCCGAGAAATTCACCATCTTTTAGAATCATGTACTCTTCTAGTGACGATTATTTGAATGATATCGGTTGGAAGAAAACTCCATACATCATAAAAGTCAAGAGATTTTCAAATGTCTATTATAACTAACTAAATGACAATTTTTGAAATAAACAAATCCCAACGAATTACTCAGATAAGATAACAGAACTCAGTCTATACAAAACAAACATCAGTGGGTTTAAATTGTTCATTTGTATATACTGGGTGATAATTGAAGGTGAAATGAAAATTCGGGCCTCAGCGGGTTCAAAACGATGACCACCGGGTTTTCAACCTCGTGTTTTACCATATGAGCTGGAAAACCCGGTTATTTATCAAAATTTTACTTCAATTACAAAAGGTTACGCATGACTACGAGGTGAATTCGTGACACGTTACTACAGCTTGATTGAATTCACATTGGCTGCTTAGTTAAGACTTGTCATTTATATACAGTCATAATTTATTTGCACTGAAATTGCTTTGATAACCAAAACTGTTTGATTTAGTCATTACTTCTGAAACAATTTTCATCTATAATATAATCACAGACTCCTGTGTGCAGTTTTCATTTCATTAATGTTTATAATAAGTAAGCAGAGTTATTGTTTTTTTAATCGGATGATTAATTTACGAATAGTTAACAAATTACATGATCCACCTTCATATTTTTCACGGATAAATGGTTTTACAACTGTTCAGATGTGTTAACATTAGAGTATTTGTTGAAAACTATCCTACAAATGATCTAGGACACAAAAGTTTCATGAACAAACGGAATATACTACTTAACAATGTTTATAGATAGAAACTACTTAGCATAGTTTGTAGATTTCGCTAGCCATTGATAATCACAGATTCTCATGTACATTATTCATTTCAGTAATCTTTATGCGAAGAAGACAGAGTTATTTTAATATTATTGATGTAAAATGGTTAATGGTGGGATCCGAGATGCGTGTTTTGTTCACTTTAGGCCTCATAGTGAGCAACGTTGTTCTCACTAAGACTAAATCAGTTGACGGATTGTTTCAAACACCATAGTATTATCCACTAGGCTCTCGAATCATTATATCTACTTCCATAGTCAAGGGTGCGATTTTTATATTGTTGCTTGTATTACCCTATCATTGAGTGGACCGAATTGACTGGTCTCTATTGGTGTATGGACTCCTGCGCGGATGCCTCGATATAACCTGTCATTTCAATTTTATAGAAAGGATGGATAATGGCTAGCAGTGGAAGCAGGGAGGCATGTTACGTCCTACTTGGAACTTGTCAACTGAATATACTTGCCTGTATACTATTTACAATTTATATATATGATGTCAACTAAATAAACGTTAAAATGCTTGAAGATATTAAGCCGTCAGTTTGAAAATACTTGTTTGTGATAACAAATGTTTTTACTTTAGTATTCGGTATTCAAGGGGAATTATTGGAAAATAAAACGGAAATACTTGAGCCTAAGAACCTATTTGTATATTTGATTACTGCTCAAGTGCTCTGTTGTCTAGTCTACAAGCTTTTATCTATATTTTACGTCATCATTCCACTTAAGTTATTATGTACTATGTTCAGCTATCGTTTGAACAGAAAAATACTTTATTACATATGCTGAATCTAGGTACTTCAGTTATTCTGCTCAATATTAGTAGATATGTTTTTAAAGAGTAAATTATATATATATATATATATATATATATATATATATATATATATATATATACGGAAAATAACTTGGAAATGGATAGTGGAACTCAAGAAGCACGTTTTATCCAATTAGGACTCGTCAGTAAGATTCACCTTCATCCTAGTTGGTGATGTTCTTATTGGGATTCAATGATAACCATTATCCATATTCCCTGTAACAATGATAAAACCATGTATACTGACGCATGTAGCCAGGATCCCCATATATCAAAATGAGGCTGATGAATTCAATACCAATCAATTAACAGTAGGAAATAATTTTTCATAGGACAAATAACTTACTTTATTATATACAAATTCTGGTTTCAATGGTCTAGCTATATGTGTAACAAATTCTTCGTTAACTTTTGTCAATTGTGGTGGTTTACGCTTTGGTAGCATTGTCATATTGATATTTGGTGTTGATTTATAGTATCCATATTGTTTGTATGGAGTAGACATCCATGGATTATTAATATTATTATTGGTATTGGTAATAGTACTGTTGGTATGAGTATCATTGTTGTTGTTATTGTTATCGGTTTGAATATCCATTATTTTCTCTGAGATTGATTCATCCACCTGAAAGTGTATTATGCAAACGAATAAATTACCTTTATATATTTATATGCTGATACTATATAAACCTCAATAGATGATTACAAGTTTAATGAAGATTTGTTAAAACAGACTATCGTCTATTCTTTTAACTTGACCTTATCATTTGTTATATATTTAAACTGTATTCATCAATTGGGAATATGTATATTGAACTTGTCATGTATAGAAACTTTAAATATGCATCCTTCTGTTATAGATATAAGTATGCACGAACTTTACTTACTCATCAGATAGAAAAGCTTTTTATTTCTTTGAGAATTTCTTAGGTAATCAACAACATTGTGATGGGTGGAGGAGGAGAATCAGGAGATCGATGAGAAGGATAACCAGTTAGTAATGCTGCAAATAACAACCCTCTACAACCAGTGGTTGGTTTCATCTGTATCACATGATAATGAGAATAGTGATAATAATAATAATGGAATAAATGCTTCATGGTGTGTGTGTGTGTGTGTGAGTGCACAATGTATCCATGCAGTTATTGTTCATGCCACCTATTGAGATTACTGACAAAGAGAGTTAATAATCAATGTAAAATAAATTTATTTCAGTAATTTGTTAATAAATAATCGATCTGAAAATATAACTATCATCTCAACCGCATATATGCTGCTGCATAGTCAGGTTAGTGCGAACAAGAAACCAACGAAGAACTATTTGTTCTCAGTAGTGAACCCTTCAGCAATGGACAGAATAGACCAGTAGTAGAGAAGGATACCTATCAATGGTAGCTGCGTTTCACAGGCTTACAAATTCCAGAAACCCTAGACTGTTGAATTTTCACTTATTATGGAATAATCCCTAACACACTGCATGATGAGACAGTTTCTTTTTTAATAGGTCTTGAACAGAAGTCATATGACTATAAAAACTATTCTGGTCTCGTAGCTCAGTTGGTAGAGCACCGGGCTGCAAACCTGGTGGTCGATAGTTCAAATCCGGCCGCGGTTTAAATTTTCATTTCACCTTCAATCATTAACCTGTATAAATTAGAAACTCATCATGGACTAACGTAATTTGGAGAATCATTGAAGACCTGTAGACAACGAAGAGTTGCATCTCCAGCAGTAAGCACTAACGGCCCTGCCAGGGGTCAAAACAAAGACCGTTAGGTTACATGGAGAACGTATTAGCCACTGAGTTCATAGTTTTCTACTCCTATCAATATGAGATATAGAAAGAGTATTTACCGAAGTCTTCAGTTGATATCCACTTCACTTCCAATTAGCCGATCCCACTGCTCATGTATCATCAACAACATTATTTACGAATATAAAACTGTAAGCATGTTACGAAGTTTTTCAATTTCAAATGCAGAAAATGTATTGCCGCCCTATTATAGGATGGTAGACCGAAATGAAAAAGTGGATTATTTATTGATCCTCACTATATGCTCATACTTAAATAAGTTTAGAGTTTTGTTTTGTACTCCATAACCTAACTTGGTTAACTAGTTCACTAGTTACTTACCGGTCCTAAGCCAGGGTAAAGAGGGAAGGTTGGCCACAGGGCTAGCAACCCTAACCCGTAAAACAAATCTAACCGCTAAAGAAACTTCAAAGCACAAACAAAATACAAAAAATAAAAACAAAATTAATCCCCGCTGGAATCGCAGAGATGAAATGATAACGGTTGGTAAAAGCCTTCGGGAAGCCAATTGGCCGATGTGTCTTCTCTCGATGGAAGTAAAAGTGAACGTGGGGATATGGAATGTCCGCACCATGTATGAACCCAGCAAGGCAGCTCAGATTGCAAACGAGATGAAAGGTGCAGCATGGCAATTCTTGGAATCTGCGAAAGCAGATGGAATGGAATCGGAATCTCCTAACTGTCAACTGGAGAGGAGAGTCAATAATCTACTCCGATATTGTCACCCACACGACAACCACAACCACACTGAGTGTTGGAGTGGCTATCATGATGTCCCCAACAACATCGAAGGCACTCATACAGTGGGAATCAATCTACTCCAGCATCACGATCATCACAGCAAGGTTCAACTCAAAAGGAAGGAAGGTCACAATCATACAATACCAGTGCTACACTATGCACCTACAAATAATGCAGATGAAGAGGAGAAGGAGGAATTCTACAGACAACTGCAATCAACACTGAACAAGACGTCAGTTGGCGATATCAAAATTGTAATGGGTGTGGTGACATGAATGTCAAACTGGGAGTGGACAACACAGGAAGAGAACTAACCATACATCGAGAAGCACTCGGTGAGGTGATGAACGAGAATGGAGAATTGTTTGCAGAATTCTGTGCATTCAACGATTTGGTGATTGCAATGAGGCAATGTGTTCAGGCACAAGGATATCCACAAAGCGACATGGATTTGATTTCACTAGACACCAGGTCACACTAAAAATCACATCGACTTCATCTCAATGTGAAGAAAGTGAAGACGCAGCCTACCTGACAGAAGGTCAAGAAGGGGAGCAGATGTGGGCTCAGACAACTATCTAGTGCAAGAAACCTAACCTCAAAATCAAGTTGAAAGCCTTCAAGGAAGCTGGTGATAGACCACAGTTGAAGTACAACACTCGGAAACTGAACTGAAGGACGAAGCTACACAGAAAATCTTCACGTCAGCCATCAAGACAAAATGGGAGATATCGTGGAACATTTCTGAAGAAACCTGTGTGGATGAGTACTGGAAGTCTTTGAAAGCTATGTGGAAAGAAGCCTGGATAACCGTATTAGTAAGGAAGAGGAAAGAAGATAAGGAATGTATCTCGATGGATACATGGAAGCTGATGTAGCAGGGAGAGGAGGATGTTGAAGCAGAAGATAAAGCAATGCAGTGCAAGGATGCACAACGAGCGGAGGAAGTGAGTGAAATGTATAAAATACTACACTGGACAAAGAAGTGAAGAAGAGTGTGTGGGAAGACAAAAGACACTTCTACGACACATTGTCAAGTGAAGCAGAACAATCTGCAGTAGGAGAGATAGAGACAGATAGAGACCTGACAACATTGTATCAAATAACCAGGTTACTATCTGGCAGGGAAGAGATCAACATAGTGCAGATGAAACCAATAAAATATGATGAAGGAAATATAATTACTGAAGAAGAGAAACAAGGAGATGATGGGCTGACCACTTCAAGAAGCTGTTGAATCGACCACCACACCTGCACTTCGTCCAGAAATACCACCTGCAGCTCAGCCACACAACTACACGTGAACATAAATCCTCCAAGAACAGTGGAAGTCCTGAGAGCCGTAAAGCTACTGAGATGCGGGGAAGCAGCAGGCCTAGATGGAATCCCATCAGAAACACTGAGAACAGACGCAGAGACAACAGTGGACATGCTCACATCACACCACTATTGAGGAAGGTGTGGAAGGAAGGGAAGGCACCTGCCCATTGATTGGAAGATGAGCTTTTTTGTCAAACTCACGAAGAAGAAAGGAGACCTCAGTGTTTGCAAGAACTGGCGCGGAATCATGTTTCACTCCTGTCCACCCACAGCAAGCAAATTATTATGCCGCATCATCTTGGAGAGACTAAAGGATGAGCTGGATTCAAAACTACCACCCGAACAGGCTGGCTGCATTCACGAAGTACAAATCATGTGCGGACCAAATCACAAGGCTTCGCATCATCACAGAACAGAGTGTAGAATGGTAGTCGACTGGATCTCAACCTCAGTTTCATCGACTTTGAGAAGGCCTTTGACAGCGTCGACCGAGAGGTGATTTGGAAACTGCTTCAACACTACGCAATACCACAAACCTTTATCAATCTCATTCAACAACTAAAAGAAGACACCACATGCCAAGTAATTCACAAGGGGAAGCTCAGTGATGCTTTTGAAGTGAAGTGAAGAGAGGAGTGAAACAAGACTGCAGTCTACTATCACCCATAATATTCCTGATTGTGGTCGACTGGATCATGCAGCAAACAGTGGGGAGCCGTGAGGAGAGGGGGATAGGCTGGACTGTGGAAAAGAACCTGGAAGATTTGGATTCCGCCAGTGATGACTTGTGTCTAGTGTCACACAAACTTGAAGATATACAGGCGAAAACTAACAAGTTGACAGAAGAGGCGAGTCAGGACAGCGAAGGCGGGACACCATTCAAGTGAATATGGAGAAGACAGAAGTGATGAAGATACCCAAACAACAACAACAACAACGACAGCAACAAACACCAATCACAATCAGTTCGGAGAAAATTGAAGGAAGTAGCCTCTTTCACCTATCTGTGTAGCACTTTTTCAACTATACGCGGCACTGACGAGGATGTCAAAGTCAGAATCAGAAAGGCAGCAAGACTGGCGTTTATCAGCCTGAAACCAGTGTGGAGATCTTGTGGTCTGCACTCAGCATAAAGCGTGAACAAGATGCGGATTTTCAACACCAATCCAGTCAAGTCAGTGCTTCTGTATGGTTCAAAGGGTTGGCGCGTTACGAAAGGCATTTCCAATAAACTACAGACATTCATCAACAACTGCCTACACTCACTCGATATTGAAGATCAAATGGCCAGAAAGAATATGCAACAAGGAGCTCTGGGAACGAACCAACAAAGCAAGAACCTATCATTCAACAAATGTGCACTGGAAGGAAGTGGAGATGAATTGGGCATGCACTGAGAAGGCCGACTGGGGACATCACGCGTCAGACCCTCGAGTGGAATCCCCATGGGAAACGGTGAGTTGGGCGTCCGAGGCGAGGGTGACATGGAGGATATCGTGCGAGGAGGAAATGAGAGCTTGTGGGGAGTTGTGGAACCAGGTTCAAAAGATTTCAGAGAACAGAGTGCATTGGAGACGTGCTACTGAAGCCCTATGTTCCATTAGGAACCCAAGGGACTTATAATAATAATAATAATAATAATAATAATAATGTTTAGGTTGATGAACTCTGCTTTATGTTTAAGAAGGTACTCTTTAGTGAATTGCTTTGAGATAGAATTTCCGAAGTTCTAATGAGAATTCATGACTGGTTGGGTGAACCAAGTCTTACGCGATGACAAGTGCTCAACGACGGCCCTGGATAGATGTCGCTTTATATCTCAAATTGACAAAATTATACACATGTTTACCATTAGACTGCGATCCAGTCGCTTAATGGCACCATGCTACACTTGAAACCTGAAGGTCATGGGATAGATCCCTGTCAGGGATATGGGAATGGACTTCTGAAGAGTCCTATAGTAGGATAACACAGCTGCACAGTGTTCTCAGATTTCTAATCATTTGTCAAGTTATGTCAGTCTGTGATGAATGCAAAACTTGAAATGAATAAGTAAATCCTCTAAATGAAATAAATACAATTTTATAAAAGCAGCAAGAGTAAACGTTAGATTTCAAAAGACTACATTGATGTTTATTTATTATATTATTTGTCCCTTGGGTTCCTAATGGAACATAGGGCTTCAGTAGCACGTCTCCAATGCACTCTGTTCTCTGAAATCTTTTGAACCTGGTTCCACAACTCCCCACAAGCTCTCATTTCCTCCTCGCACGATATCCTCCATGTCACCCTCGCCTCGGACGCCCAACTCACCGTTTCCCATGGGGATTCCACTCGAGGGTCTGACGCGTGATGTCCCCAGTCGGCCTTCTCAGTGCATGCCAATTCATCTCCACTTCCTTCCAGTGCACATTTGTTGAATGATAGGTTCTTGCTTTGTTGGTTCGTTCCCAGAGCTCCTTGTTGCATATTCTTTCTGGCCATTTGATCTTCAATATCGAGTGAGTGTAGGCAGTTGTTGATGAATGTCTGTAGTTTATTGGAAATGCCTTTCGTAACGCGCCAACCCTTTGAACCATACAGAAGCACTGACTTGACTGGATTGGTGTTGAAAATCCGCATCTTGTTCACGCTTTATGCTGAGTGCAGTGCAGCAGATCTCCAAGCACCCTGATTTCAGATTAGTGAGAACTTGTCTTGCTTTTCCGATACTGGCTGGCTTTGACATCCTTGTCTGTGCCTGTGCTGTCTGTAGTTGAAACGAAGCTGCCTATGTAGGTGATAGAGACTACTTCCTTTAGGTTTCTCCCTCTAATGGTGATTGGTGCTTGTTGTTGATGCTGTTGTTGGTTGGGTATCTTAATCACCTCCGTTTTCTCTACATTCGCTTGAAGTCTTATCTTCACTGCCTCTTTTGTCAACTTGTTAGTTTTCGCCTGTAGATCTTCGATTACAAGTCGCTTAGTTACAGTAAGGTTTGTCACAGTTGAGTAATTTCACAAATGTCCAGCTATATTGATCACAGGAGTCTTGGTCGTATAACATATTACCAAGATCAGAAAGTTTATTTCTAGTGCTGTATACCCTTGCTGTTTTGCCAATGACCTTAAAATAACCTACATGGCTGTTTTTATACTGCTACTGGTTTTTCTCCTCTCTGCTCTCAAGGTGAACTCTCATTGGTTGTCAACTACTTTTACTTATATATGGGTTTAGTGTTGTCGAGGTCATTTAGAAATGTTTATATTCAGCATCACTGTCAACTGTATTTACTATTTTTGAGACAGTAAATAGCTGTCTGTCTTTTCTTGTCTTCGTGTGTCGGAGGTATTGTTGTTGTGGTGGTTGACGTTCTGATTGGCGTTGGAGTCGATTCGCTGCGCGTTAGGTTCGAATCGTTCGTAGTCTACTAGGCTGGAGCGTTAGGTCGTACTATCGATCATAGCACTTAATCACAATATTGTCGTGAACTACTGAAATATACCACTGAGCAATATGAGTGAATGGTTGGAAAGCAGTCACAGTGATCTGAAGACTCTGCTAGCTCAAATATATTGCTCTAAGCATCAGATATGGATCATATTTTGGGGTCATAACTGCATGGTTTTCAACAAAAATCCTTCTGCAAAGCTATGTGAACAATATAGTTTTTAACCAATATGAACACTCGGTTTGTGGGAATTTACTATATACTAACTTGAAATTAATAAATCCTCATAAGCTTTCAAATTGTTTTACTGTCCAATTCTCATCGGTTACATGGTTCAAGATTAGAATTATCTAAGTTCTGATCAGAAGTTGTCAACAATGGGGCAATTCAAACTGCGTATGTGTATAGTTACTTAATGTAGGTAGCGATATTTTGTAAACTGACAGAAGTGATAAGTATGGACTTTTGGATTCCTACCAAGTGTCTCAATGATAATGTTTTATCCATGAAACCTAAAGTTCCCGAGATGGATCACAGTCGGTGTTATGGGTCGGGACTGATGAGAAATCTCATGGAGGGACGAGATAGGTATCCACTGCAACCAGATTTTCAATGTTTCTCCAGATAATGTCAGTCCATGGTGATTGTGTAATGGCATATTCACCCATCGAAGTCAGGAAATAAAATTATTTGGATCTGCAAAATTCGGTTGGATGGGTAGAATTCATTTTGGTACATGTCTGATGATTTTTACGTCAAACAAGAGAAGTGTCCATTTACTGCTCAAATCACTTAAATCTATCTAGTTAATGAAGTATGCAGATAAGAGTGAGTAGATCCTAACTATCTACCAATATTCTTCGAAGGTCCGACTGTGGTCTGATTGCTTTGATTAAAGGCCATACTTCTGATATTTCTGCTCGTCATTTAATGTTAGAAATACTTATTTCATATCAGTGTACAATTTTCAGTAGGTGTTCATCCTAATTAACTGTTTATCCACTATACCTATTGAAAAAATGTGGCGGATTCGAATACGTGGGTAGACGCTTTCTTTACTCTGTACTTTTAAGAAAACTGCTAAAATTCGTCTGCTTTTGCACTAAAATATATTGCCTTTAAGTTTACGAATATATCCGTATTGTGACTCAAAAAAAAAGCAGTAAACAGGTTAATGATTTTCGCTTATATATATTGATTGACCCCTAGAGAGTAACAAATTTCATGTTGTCTAGTACTGGGACCAACCGATAAGTTTGCAATGTGGTCACCAAGGTAGATGCCTCATCAACGTGGTATACTTTATGGATATCAGTAGGTCGGAGGTGATCGGCACGGAGGTCCTTGATCTAAGTTTTCTGCATGTTGATATTCGTCAGCAAGGCGCGGTCACCTGAGTTTCGAACTCTCACCATTCAGTAGTGTAATAAGCGACGCTATCACTCGAAGGTGGCATAAAGTGTATACATCTGTGAAACTGTGGTCGACTGGAAGCAGTATTATCATGAGTTTCCAGGAGTTGATTCCCTAAATTTTCGGGACTCAGTTCAGATGACCTGCACCGCTACATATGGTTCAAACCAACAATTAGGGAATTCATAGGTTGTTAGCGTACCTTGGTCTAACCACCTTTCGCCTTCTCCTAGCCTAACCCCTCCTTCTGATAATATCGAACATCAATTCAGGAGGTGACTTCATATGTATGACAGTGTCTACGCAACATCGGTAGGTGCAAGTTAACCAAACCACTGACTAACGTACTCTGTGCATTACTTGGACCTAATTACCTAGACATTGAATATCCTATGGTTTCTTTGCCATGATAATGATACTACAGAGATGTCTTTGATCCAAAACCTGCAACCTTATCATATCTTCTCCTTTCAGAGGCCAAATTTCATAGTCATATCATAAGATTAAATGGAGCACTGTGCAATAAATTCATTTGTTTTACCATTATCTAAATAAAATTATATTTAAATGAATGACTCAACTCACTATCAGCTCTTCAGTAGAATTAGATTGTTTTTGTCCCAGTGAATTGTTATATTTCCAATAGATTTGATTCACTTCATTTGTATTATGTAATCTTGAATTTGATACACTTTTTGTACCTATATTTGGTGTAGATTTTATTGGTTTGTCTAATTTGTATAATGTTGGTTGATTTATTTTACAAAAAAGACTTTTACTACTATTGTTGTTGATTTGAGTAGTATTATTTACATGGGATAAACTTTCAGTTGATAAATTTGATTGTGGTGATTGACTAACAGTAAAATTTGAATTGATCATATTACTATGACGAATATGTACATCTTTTCCATTAATTAATTGATGTGAGGTTGGCAGTCTAGGATATGAGCTAGTTTTAACCTTTTTATAATTATCTTCACGAATTATTGTTATCTTTGGTCGAAGGAGAATTTTATTGTTCATTGATTCTTCAGATACATTTGAAATATCAGTTACTGAGTGTGATTCACTTTTTCCACCAGTTATTACAGAAGATTTATTCGATGATACATTAATCTCCTTGATCTTTTCAAGTTTTTTGTTATTACTAGTATTTAATCCATGAGTAAAGTTGGTTAAATCATTTACTGAAGCACTTTTGATATCTTCCATGCATTTATAGTTTATATCTAAAATGTTCAGTAAGTAATATGGAACAGTAAGTGGCATATATGTTCATATAAATATTGAAATGGATATAAACTGTGCAAAATAATGATCTCTGTTTGTATGGAAAAAGTTTTCATTCATCATCCACACAAAAGTAAAGAACCACTGAAAGATAAGAGAGATTGAATAACTGTTTCACAAAATTCCTCAATTCTTCGGTATTGTGTATCCATAACTAAATAATGAATTAAATCTCATATAATCAAGTGTCATGATGAAAAACTTATCACTTAGTATTGAAAGGCACTTTTTTTCAACAAATTATTCATAGAGTTTTAGACTAAACAGCAACCCAGTGCACAATAGCGCTTGACTTTTAAACTTATTCGATAAAATCTTACAACAGATCATTTTTTACAGGATCAAGTGAGTTAAGTGTGAGGGGAATGATAACCGGAAATGTTATCATATAACAGTAGCATAATATTATGAATTGAGGAGATGTAAAGAGTGCGGAATTTCGGCTTTCAGCCGAGTGACTGAGTAACAATATGCCATTTGTGAGACCTGATTATTCTAAGTTTGATCTTACATGATGTTTTGTATGTAAACTTTTTAGAAGTTCCGAGCTCTCAGCTATCTAGTGCACCTGGGTTTTCAATGGTTCTGTGCTGGACCTAAACTGATAACAATGACTGGTCTAAAGCTACTTTCTCTCAGGTTATTTAGCTTGTAGTAGGAGGCGATTTATCCAGGCTTCAGATCATGCAGAGTCCGTCTTATCCAGGAAGCCTCTGCCAATGGTTTCTCACTTTTTCGTCTCCTGTTGCCTAGCTATGCCTTCAACTACCTGTAGCTCATCCACACATAGTTAAAATAACTTCCCCAAATAACTCACACTGCCAAATTTCCACGACATCCATAAATATATAATTGTATATTTTACATAGTATGCATTTGATATCTTATTTCTCATTGTGCCACTTGTGGGGTAGATAAATGGCTGGTGATTATGGATTGCCAAATATCACGGTGCGTGGTTTGAATACAAACAAGGCAGATCCACAGATTGAGAAAACTATGAAAGGGTATCAAGTTAATGTGTGGTAGATTCCATCACTGAGTGAGATGGATGGTGATAAACTTTAAAATGGGACTCCTCAGCAGTGCGCATCCATGACCCTGTACCCCCATGGATCGAATCCAGGACCTACAGGTTCCGTGGCCAGCACCTTACCATTGAGCCATTTGTGATGGAAACCATCTTTCGACTTTAAAAATCATGTCAATATGACTAGTGTTTTCCATGTACTTATTTCAGTCACCAGTGTATAACTTGGTATTAGTTGACCGGTATTTTCTGACATTGTCAATGCAAGCACTGCAAACACCCATCATGGTCAAATGTGGGAACATCTAAGGATATAAATCGAACAATGAAACAACATTTCGCAAGTCATATCTGCTGCTAAAGTTACTTTATTATTGAATACTAGTTTAAGTATGTATATTAATGTTCCATTCATCTTGGTGACTTGTAGTAGAACCCATGAAGTGAGTTTCGTTTATGACTCTCCAGTAAGTGACTTTATCCTTAGTGAGATTCGAACCTTGTACCCAACGCTTAGAACGCTAGAGTGTTATCCACTGGGGCACGAGAACCAGATGAATTCTGGCTAAAAACTGACTTCAGTACTAGGATGATCAGTTTGATAATGATTTATAAATTGCATGGTCCACTTTGACATTTCTCCTAACCGAGTTGTTTTTCAACTTCTCTACTGTGGTATCAACACGGTTTCCAGCGGAAACCAGTCACACTGATCTGTAGAATTTCGCCAGTTAGATGAGAGACGTCTAATCACCGAAGGGCCATTTCGTTTGTTACGGACCAAGCTCATCAACAGTCTACCCTAACAAATTCAGCTGACAAAGCTCATCTCATTTTACTCTGGCTAACCAACTTGCATGAACTATTATGCCCAGAATAGGATGATCGATCTGCAGATGATTCACAAAAGAGTGAAATAGCCGTCTGCTGTTTATATCATTCAGTTCTGGCTGTCAAAATACTGCAAATCAGTCTAAATAATTTCTAACTACTCAAATTGTTCGGTGGTGGTATTTCTCGCTAGTTCATGACACTTCTGTGTCAGTGATCACACATTATAACCTCACCTGAGTGGTTTCTGCTGGAAACCCTGTAGACACCACCACTGAGTAGTTGAGAAAATACTCAACCATGAGAAATATCAAAATGGACCGTGTAACTTGCAGATTATTTGCAAATTAATCATCCAGTTCTAGATGTACCGGTCGATATAAGTTAGTTCGACTCCATTGGTTAAATTCATCAGGGTGCACCACTGATGAGGTTGTCACGAAACGAGGGAAATAACTATTCGATGACTAGATGCCTCTGGTCTGGCTAATGAAGTACAACAGATTATTCTGATTGTTTTCTAACTACTCAAGTTGTTGTTTACCTTCTACACCAAGAGATGATACTTGGAGTTGCAGTCAGGTTCAAACAGGCAGCTTTAGTTGTTGTAATCATACCCGTTGCACAAGAACTAGCTATCGTGCCTCAGTGGATAACGCTCTGAAGTTTGAAATGAAGTGAGCTACATTCGAGCCTTAGTGGGAACAACATCACTCACTACGGTGCGGGTACATCTAGCTGACCAGTGAGTCCGAAATAGGACTAAATGCGCATCCTGGATTCCTCTACCAGTAACCAAGATCAATGCAGCTTCAGATTTATTAACTCATACATTTATTCACCGAATCATTCAGTTCAGTAGCTTACAGGGTAAATTTTATAATTCATTGTGCCCTACAATATTGAATCTAACTTCGTAAACGAGCATCCTGGGTTCCACTCCTAGCCACTATCCGTCATTAATACATAATTAGAACACAGGCAATGTCGAGGCATCTGCGTAGGAGCCGATATGCCATAAGAGACCGATCAATCTGGTCCAATCAAAGATGGGGATAATACAAGCAATAACAGCAAAACTATACCCATCACACAAGACATGGTTCAGTGGCCTAGTGGATAAAAATCTGGCGTATGAAGTGGTTGGCCCCAAGTTCAAGTCCTAGTTGGAAAAACACCACTCGCTAGGAGGCAGTTTCTTCTAGCTGACGAGTCCTGAATAGGACGGAACGCGTGGCCTTGTTTCCACTGCTAGATACTACCCATCATTAATAAATGATTATGATTATTAATAATAATTCACTAACCATTATCTTCGACATTTGTATATGAATGTGTTTCTGGTCTTCTATTCTTCTCATCTACATCAGAACTGAAATGATTCTGTTTTAATTCTACACATGTAGAAGTCGGTGTAACGGTTGCATAGGCTACAGAATTTCTATGAAAACTGGGATAAATGAATGGTGATTATTATTACTGCTGCTTTTAGGAGTTGTAGTATTAGTAATAGTTTTTGTATTACTATAATTACTGGACGTATTTGTTAGCGGATGAGATCCTATAAGTTTTACGTCTACATGATTATTATCGTAAATATTATGACTATCATTGCCATTATTCATATGCTGATAAATATTGCTTTTGTAAATATTGTTGGTTAATTGAACATTGGATGAAATTTGTTGTCCATTCATCATAGAGGTGGAATTCAACGACTGTTCATCTTTTTTAACTGATGATGTAATTGGTGAGGAACTTCCAGCTTTGGGTAATGTTGAACTACTGAAAGTTATTTTATTCTCCATTTGTCGTTTTAAGCTAGGACTTGATAAAGAATTGCTTTTAGTCGACTTCTCACCACTGATAAGGAATAAACAGTACAAAAATTAATTAATTAATGAAAAGCTCACAGGTAAACAACATTGAAACATTGATACATCACACATATCTACTTATGAGTAGTTTGAGAAGTGCACCTACCTCCTAGTTTATTAGTGACATGCTAGGTAGTAGGAGACGATTTGCATGAAATCTTACACTTGAATTTCATGCTTGATGAAAAATGTGAGTAACACATGAATCTTCAACCTCAAGAGAATCGATGGTCCCTATGGCAATTCAAATCAGCGTCACTTAGCACTGCAATCAGAGACGTTACCGTTCAGCTATTCGTATTACTTGACATATACATCGATTGATAAATGCAGAGTGCTGACGAATCTATCAGATTCGATCACCACTTACACCACATAAAACTGGGTACTCTCTACCAATGAATCATTTTGACTAATACTGATCACCTTGCGATAATATCATAGATTTTAAGCTTGTCAGAGGCAGTTTTATTCAAAATAAACTATCTGTGATAATAAGTAGCATTAGAAAACACACTTAACCAAGTAAACATTGGCGGTTATTTCTCGTGAGGTACACTCTAAGTTTAGTTAGCTGTGTTTTGACAACAAGATATCTTGGAAACACTAAATTCAAATAAACACCAGATAATTTATTCAAAACACTAAATTTACAACAATTTTTTTCCAACGATAACATACTTATAGAAATACTAGAAGAAAACTGATTTTCATTCTGTGCATTGTACTGGTAAGGATCTCTGGTCAGACAGAAATTCATTATTTCCATTTGACTACAGTATAATATGTGAAGAAATACATGAAATATTTTTTGAACAGCTAATTACCTTCATACATAAACTCAGTTAATTTAAACAATAACAGATTTTTAAGTACAACATTGAGTATATTATGAAACACGGGACATTAAATTACACCTCTGGACTTGTTACGGAAGACAGACTTGTACGGAAGACAGTGAAGGAAGAACATGGGACAGGATAGCATTACTTCATGTTACAAAATTTCAAGATGGTATATGGGAGAGAATTTATTATAAAATCAAGAGTAAAACAACAAGGTCGATGAAAAAAAGCACAAATTAGTAGATAAGCTATTTAGGTATTAACTCATAGCAAATAAGACCAGTGCTCAGTGGATAAATGAGGTTCTCATTACCATGCTTTATCCGCCATATCTGGGAGGTTTCAGCTGGGGGTACCTACATAGCAGTGAGTGATGCTGTTCCCACAAAGACTCTAGCTAAGTACCCATTAGTGCACTTGGCCATTGATGTACAAGAGCCACAGGCAATTTAGCATCTAAAACCATACAGTAGGGTGAATTGCACTGATACACAGAATAGTACTGTACAGAAAATGGTATGTCGGGACTTTATTCCTACTTCTGTCTTAATTTAGCCCTACATCATGCGTGACGTAACTTCTTCAATCTATTCAATGATTCGTCATGGGACAGTAACCAACTTCATGTTGTCTAGTTTTCAGTACTGACCGAATTTTATCGATCATATTCGCAGTGTGATCACCAAGCTAGGAGGCTCAGCATCGCGATGCAGACTGACAAACGTTAGTTAGTTAGAGGCAATCTGCAGGAAGCATTGGACGTAAGCAACCAAGGCATATCCGTGATCTCGAGGGAACTGACATTTCCTCTAAGCATCGAAGCCACGTCACGCAGTGTGTCAGTTAGCAAAGTTACGACTGGGTTGTTTCCGCTATAGATGACCTTCTGCATATTCAGAAATGCTAAACATATTTTGTCATATGATAAAGGAAGCAGGAGTACTATTATTATTTATTAAGTGAAATAAAGCCTTGTTTAATTAAAATATTTCTCGAAAAATGGGAAAAAAATCACCAATAAAATCACCATAAATTATATCCATAATTACTGTAATAAATATTACGCAATAATCATCTATTTGATAGATCAGAAATGGGATAAAAATAGATTGTAAAAATTATAGAACCTCTCGTTTTCACTTGGTAGATGAGAATTTTTTAGATCCAATTGAAAATTGAACTTAAATCGTTTTGTTTTAATCAAACCACTTTCAATGTCCACTACTAGGAAATTGGTTTTTAAATATTAATTCCTTTTTTTCATTAAAATGTATGATATTTTCTATATAAAGAATTTTAAACCTCACTTTTCAAAAAAACATGAGGGTGAAATAGTCTATATTCTCCATTATTATTATTTACTTGTTTTCAGACAATTAGAAGAAAATAAAATCACTTCTGTAAAGTTTCTTTACCTTTTTATATCTAACCTAAATTTTTTTATTCAAAATTGTTAATTAGATAAATAAAATTCGAGTTTCTAATGTGTTTCATCGAAATGAAAATTTGGCAGTGAATTTATTAATCCCTAACTCTTATAAAAATACGGCTGTTTTTTGATTCATCTTCTAACAGTCGGTAGTTCATGAAACGTTTAACAGAATCCGACGGCGGTCGAAATTTCAACTACAACTTCAGTCATCACCCAGTACAAATACTAGTCCACCTAACTACGACTATCTTAAACAGTCAAATGATAATCAGTGTGATGCTCATCCTCAATAATTCAGTTTGAGTTGGATTGAGATAAGAAGTCCTGACTGCAGGCAGCCAGCGTAAGTAACACCAAGTGAGAGTAAAGCATCATGAATTCATATAGTCATCAGGCGAAACACTTGGTGATTGAAGGTGAAATAAAAATCTGGTCAGCAGTTGAACCTGGTATTTCAGTTGGTGGAACACGGGGCGGGAAACCCTGTGTGTCAGTGGTCCGAATTCAGCCACAGTCCAAATTTTCATTTCACCTTCAATCATTTCCCAGTATAAATACGGCTATCTCAAATGGTCAAAATGATAAACTATACATTTTCCATCACTCATCATTGGTAATGAAATTATCACTATGAATACCTACTACTTAATATTCATTTCAGTCTTCTGACATTCGTTTCACCGCTGTTCAGAATTCCTCAAAAGTTTGTTAAAATGAACTCAGGAATTACAGAACCGAAGAGCAAATTTTGAACAGCCAACAGGTTGCCATACATTAAGTGGTCACTGAAAACAAATCAGTTTTTTCTTGTTTGGTCCTAAGTGTCCTTTGAATTCCTATCGATCGTTATGTAAAGTGGTCTTCAAGCTAGGTGACTCATTATCACAGTTCCCTCAGTTAGGTATCAGGTAAACCGATAGAAAGCGAATGGTTCAGTGGTGAGGCCTGTGACTGGAATACTGCATGACTTCGGTTTCTAATAACTGGGCGAACATCGATTCCTCTAATTTTTTAGATGTACTTTTGCTGATGACAGCCACCAGGTAAGAAACCAAGGTCATGGAGTGTTTCCTGGCAGTTACTTTCTAACCAAATTTAACCTTTCATATTTCACCATCGCAGCGTTGTATCGTGGCTAGCAATGGAAATGCGCATCCTGGCTTCCACCGCTAGCCACGATCCATCATTAAACAACATTTTTCATAAAAATTGCTCGCTGTTCTAAGCCTGGACAATCAGATGAAGTTATAACTAAAAATGGATGAAATCTCTAAATTATAAGTTTCTTCTCTTTCGGCTAACCATTCCACTTCTTTCATTTGCGTAGTTTCATAAAAATACATTTTTCTTGAAATTTTTTAATTTCAATGGAAGAATTTGTATTATTTGCTAAGTGTCAACTTTGTTTTTAAAATAAACTATCGACTCTGAGAATAAGTAAGTATGTTATGATATAATCCCCGCGTGTGTTAAAACAAAATAAAAACAAGACTGTTCTTAATGTTCCACTGTGTTCGCTGCTGCAGAATATGTGGTATATACAGCAAAATGTTCAGAAGAATCTTATTTTGATGATATTATAATTTAATTTTATAATGGTTCGATTAAACTTGGTGCTAACATTCTATCATCATAATAATTCGTGATGATAATCACATCAATCTGACATCAATAAATCACCATACACTTTAATATTCTTTTACTTTGTTCTGAAGATTATCGTTAAAAACTAACAACTGTGGGTTAAAATGTTTTTATTGACTCATATTGTGTTACTGTAATGAGTGAAAATATTAGTTCATAATAAAGTTATCTAATTGTTCAACTGCTACTAACAATTACAAAGATAATTGAAAGGACAGAGAAAAAACAAAACATCACTCTTGGCGTAAAACTTAAAATCAATACTAGTATGGTAGGTTTAACGTGAGTATAAATTGTTTTTGTACACAATAATGGGGTTTGAATTTAAGAATCCAAAGAGCTGTGATATATGTAGGATCTCGGCCCTGACCTCTTTTATCTAGTAGTTTGAAAGCTGTTTTCATGTCTACCTTGTGACTATTTGTTAGTATCTCTTAAGATGAACATTTGTCATTTGAATTTATCGACTTTGTTGAAGTTACTTGTTTTTAAATCCACTAAGTTATATGTTCAACCATCCTTAACTGGATATCACGATTACTCCTACCCATGTATGTGTATCCATACACTGGAATGTTGCTTATCCAAAAGGATAAACCATATCTGCACCGATGACACGAAGAAGGAAAAAAGCATATTATTAATGACAACACTGATACAGAATGGTTTCTGATTAAGATTTATCAACAGGTGTCAGCATTTTATTGCATTTATAAGTTTACAGTATTCCCTTCCTAAGAAGAATGTCTACATGTTGTTAACATTTAGAAGTGATTTACACAGCTTTATTGAGAGAAAAAGATTTAGATAAACCATCTGTGAAAGTTACTATGTAACCAAGGTCATTACTGTGGAGAAGACAAAATTCATGTTACAATGCATAAGCAGTTGGATCACATCCAACAGTGTTTATCAGTTTACATCTATGCGTGAACACACATACATAAACGGGAGTAATCGTGATATCCTAAGTGGCTTAAAAAACAAATAACATGATCAACAGCGACAAGTGTAGATGATAAACGTCTATCTTCATCCATTGCTAAAAAAATACTAAAAACTAGT